GAGGCTGAGTGCATCTTCGATCCCGGCACAACCCACACTACCTCTTTGTCTGGTACACAGATAGTTCTGAAAAACATGTGCCAATTTGTTGGTACTCGCCGGTAAGTATCATAGTAATCCACTTCCCCAGTGAATACATGCAATCGATACACTCTCCTGATGGATTCTATCGAGGCATTCACCCTCTTTTGTCGCACAGTGCAGATGTGATCCTCATGTTTAGAGCAGTTTGCATAGAATTCCCTAACAAGCATCAAGTTACCCTCCTTCGGCTCTTCGAAGAAGATGTCCAGCCTGCGCCTAGTCAACTCCCTATACATATTGGGACACTCAGCCTAGAGGGATCACCTGTCAACTCCCCTTTCCAGTATAGGCTTTCTAATAGCCTTCAAACTGAAACGGTCTTGGGCAGCTCTGGAGACAAACTTGGTACGATCAAACTGAGCTGAACTGGATGGTGCCCGTGCCCGGGATGAGCCTCCATGACCACTTGATGAGGCACCGGTAGTGCGTCTCTTCTTTGAAGATCTCATGGTACCTACACAACAACCACCACTATCAATAATCGATGGAATACGTGAACCAAGGCGGTTACTCAGACTTCACTCGCACAATTGGTCACAATTTATACTAAAAACTCATTATGGCAATTCAACAAACACTTACTGTGCATATGCCCCCCAATGTACCCAAAGATCCAATTAAACTTCCATTCTTCACAAACTCACGATGTCTTCCCCAACCCAACCAAATCTATTGTCCTCACATACCAACATATATACCAACAATCAAAAACAAAGACAAGAGTACCCATAACTTCTACTATCCTACACTTACAATAGAAGATAAAAAGAATGAAAAAATTGGAAAAAAAACTAAAAAAGAAAGTAGAAGCATGTTACTTACTTGAAGATCTTGTGAGGAATGGAGCTTGGGTAGTGGTTGAGTAGCGAAGAGGAAGAAGGAGAGGAGATTTTGTTGAGTTAAAAAATTGGGGGGAAGAAGGGGAAGGGGTGCGGTGAGTTTTTGATTTGGGGAAGGGGGATGCGTTATTTTTGTTTTGGGGAAGGGAGGGAGAAGGGTTTTTTTTAGATCTGTTTGTTGGGGGGGGGGGGGTAGAAATGGGGAGTGGGCGGTGAAAAGGAGGGGGGAGAAATGGGGAGTGGGCGGTGAAAAGGAGGGGGGAGAAATGGGGAGTGGGCGGTGAAGGGGGGGGGGGGGTTTAAAAAAACTAATTAAAAGGGGAGAAGAGAAGAGAAAAAAAATTTTAACTGAACCTGAATGTCGTCGCATCCGCGGTCAAATTCGCGGCCGCGGACAGTGACCGGTGCGAAATCTGCGGTCAAATCCGCGGCCGCGGATATAGGCCTCCAGAAATTTTTGCTTTTTCGCACTTTTTCCTGTCTCCGGGATAATTTCGTCACCCCGAGTCCTTCCGCTGCGCATACTTTCGTTCCTGTACCTTAATAGATCGGTCAATATTGTCACCGTCCAAAATTAATTACAAAAATAAGAACAAAGAAAAATAATGGGTTGCCTCCCAAAAAGCGACTAATTTAACGTCGCGGCACGACTATTTACAACAAACCATGGGTTGCCTCGCAGGAAGCGCCTGATTTAATGTCGCGGCATGACGCAGGCTTTCATTATTTCTCTTCGCTCGTGTATTGGGGCTCTTCCAAAGATATCACCACTCTATCCCCCTTTTCTTCGACCATTCCAAGATAATGTTTCAACCTTTGCCCATTCACCTTGAACTTATTTGTTCCATCTTCGGAATCAATTTCTACAAGTCCACTTGAGAACACTTGCACCACTCTAAAGGGTCCTGACCATCGGACTTCAATTTACCCGGAAAACAATCTTTGTCTCGAGTTGTATAACAACACTAGATCTCCAGGTTTGAAGTTCCGATCTAGAATATGCTTATCATGCATCATTTTCATCCTTTCTTTGTACAATATTGCATTCTCAAATGTCAAATGCATGGAACCTGAATTTCTCGAGTTCATGTAACTCAGTGACTCTACTGGTGCCTACGGTCTCCATATCCAAATTCAACTGCCGCAGTGCCCAAAGGGCTTTATGCTCAAGCTCCGTCGGAAGGTGGCATGCTTTTCCAAACACCAACTTGTATGGTGACATACCAATTGGAGTTTTAAATGCTGTGCAGTACGTCCATAATGCATCATCCAGCTTCTTTGCCCAACCAGTTCTTGTCGCATTCACTGTCTTGGTTAGGACACTTTTGATTTCCCGGTTTGACACTTCAACTTGCCCACTCGACTGTGAGTGATAAGGTGTGGTCACCTTATGGCGAACTCCATACTTTTCCAATAGCCGCGTGAACACTCTATTGCAAAAATGGGTTCCACTATCATTGATTATAGCTCTAGGGGTGCCAAAACGTGTGAAGATGTTTTTCTTTAGAAAGCCTGTCACCCGTTTGTATCATTGATTGGGAGAGCCACGGCTTCAACCCATTTGGAGACATAGTCAACTGCCACCAGTATGTATTTGTTACCATACGAGCTGACGAATGGCCCCATAAAGTCAATCCCCCACATGTCAAATACCTCCACCTCTTGAATAGTAGTCATTGGCATCTCGTGACGTCGAGATATGTTGCTTGTCCTTTGGCACTCATCGCAAATTTCCACCCAAGCATGGGCATCCTTGAACGGAGTTGGCTAATACAAACCCGATTCCAACACCTTAACCGCTGTCCGAATTCCTCCAAAGTGTCCACCATATGGTGAAGCATGGCAAGCCTGCAAAACAGAATGTTGATCTTTCTCGGGGATACACCTCTGGATCATGTTATCTACACATATTTTAAAAAGTAGAGGTTCATCGCAATAATAAGACCGACAATAGCGAAAGAACTTTTTCTTTTGAATTGAAGAGAGTTCATAAGGTACAATACCGCTTGCTAAGTAATTAGCAATATCAGCATATCATGGCGTCTCCTCCATTATCACTGCTAGTAATTGTTCATCCGGGAATGTCTCTTTTATATCTTCAACCTCTACCTTCTTTTCAACTCCTTCCAACCTTGAGAGGTGGTCTGCTACTTGGTTCTCTGTTCCTTTTCTGTCACGGATCTCCATATCGAATTCTTGTAGCAAAAGAACCTAGCGGATCAAGCGTGGGTTTGACTCCTTCTTTGCTATCAATTACCTAATTGCTGCATGGTCAGTATAAAAAATAAATTTTGAACCAATCAAGTACGACCTGAATTTGTCGAATGCAAAAACTACAGCCAAAATCTCCTTTTCCGTCACGGTGTAATTGAGTTATGCACCGCTTAGCGTTCTGCTTGCATAGTAAATTGGGTGCATCAGCTTGTCCTTTCGCTGCCCCAAGACTACTCCTATAGCATAGTCACTTGCGTCACACATGAGCTCGAACGGTTGCTCCTTGTTGGGTGCAACAATGAGGGGTGCAGTCACCAATCTCTTCAGCTCCTCAAATGCCAACCTGCAATCATTAGAAAACACAAAGGGCTGATCCTTTTCAAGGAGTTTACATAAAGGGTTAGCAATCTTAGAGAAATCTTTTATGAATCGCCTGTAGAACCCGGCGTGCCCAAGGAAACTTCTCACCGCCTTGACCGAAGTGGGCGGTGGAAACTTCTCAATTACATCAACCTTAGCATGGTCAACCTCAATTCCTTTATAGGACACTTGATGCCCCAAGACTATCCCTTCTTGTACCATAAAATGGCACTTTCCCCAATTCAGTACTAAATTTGTCTCCACACATCTTCTGAGCACTCTTCTTAAATTGTGAAGACATTCTACGAATGAATCCCCTGCCACAGAGAAATCATCCACAAATACCTCCATAATGTCTTCAACCATATCCGTTAAATGGCTAACATACACCGCTGGAATGTAGCCGGTGCATTGCAAAGTCCAAAAGGCATTCTCCGAAAGGAAAAGATGCCATACGGACAGGTGAAAGATGTTTTCTCTCTGTCTTCAGGGGCTATTGAGATCTGATTGTACCCCGAATATCCATCCAAGAAACAGAAGTGAGATCGCCCAGCCAACCTATCCAACATTAGGTCAATGAGTGGCTAGGGGAAATAGTTCTTCCGGGTGGCTGTGTTCAATTTCCGATAATCCATGCAAATCTGCCATCCCGTGACTATACGAATCGAGATCAACTCATTATTCTCATTTTGTATGACCGTCATTCCCCCCTTATTCGGCACACACTAAACAGATCTGACCCAATCGCTGTTAGAGTTAGGGAAGATGATACTACCATCTAACCATTTGATCACTTCCTTCTTCACCACATCTTTCATATTCGGGTTCAGCCTTCGTTGATGTTCTTTGGAAGGTTTGTACCCTTCTTCCAAAAGAATCTTGTGCATAAAAAAAGCTGGGTTGATACCCTTTATGTATATGGGTTTGGCTGACGGTTTGAAGGTCAATGTAGATGCTTGGGGTGCATTCTTGAGCAAAACATTCACAGAGTGTAAGATTCTCCTTGACAAGATGTCTCAGAATTCAGGCTGGATAACGAGAGATGCAACACTCACTCCAATAGTGCATTCTGTCGCTTTTGACCCAAACAATACAAATGCAAAAAACATAGCCACTCTCATGACCCAGATGATCTTGCTGACAAAGAAAATCGATGAGATGGGTACGAAACAGGTGCACATTGTTGATACCACAAATAGAGGCTTATGCACTCCTTGCATAAACCAGTCATATGTGTGCTCGTGGAGTGGAGAGAATGACAACCAGGGTTCCAGAGAAGACATGAATTTTACCAATAATTTCGGAGGTCAAAGGCAAGGTGGGCAGCTATGGGGACCAACATCAAACCAGCAGTACAGACCAAACCAGCCACAGCACAACCCCAATCCAGGAGGAGCACGACCACAAGGCCAAGTCGTACCTTATCAAAGGCAGCAGGGCTATAATCAGTAGCACCAGCAACAGTTGGCCTACCAACCACCTCATCAACAGTAGGACAGTAACATGATCGAAATCAGGGGCATGCTGCAACAACTCATTGGGACAAATGGAAAGACGAAAGAGAAGTTAGATGCACATGATTCAGCAATCAAAGGCATTAAAACTCAATTGGGACAGTTATCTATGGCCTTGAACAATCGCCCACAAGGAACATTGCCTGCAGATACAAACATTAATCCAAAGGAGCAGAACCCAAATCAGCTCATGGCAATGAGTCTCGGGAATGGAAGAGATTTAAACAGGGAGCAAGAAGTTGCTCAATCTAGGAGAGAGACAACGCCAACTACTCCAGTTACATTAAAGAAAGAAGAGTCAGCAGAGCTCACCGAGGTTATAATTGAACAGGCACAGGTTGACAAGGGTAAGGAGAAGGAAGGTGAACAACTCTCAGAACAGGTGGTAGAAAAAGCTTCCAGCAAAGAAAAGACACAAAGCAGTGGGCAGAGGTTGACTCCTGCACCATTCTTCATAGGTCGACAAAGCAAAAGAAAGATGATCAATATAGGAAATCATGGAAATGCTCAAACAAATTCAATTGAATATTCCACTGATGGATGTTTTGAGGGAAATGCCAGGGTATGCAAAAATGATGAAGGACCTCATGTCGCGAAAATTTAACTTCCAGGACCTGTCCACTGTAACTCTGACGCAGACCTGCAACGCGGTAGTAACAAGGCCTATGGCTCAAAAGGTGTCTAATCCAGGTAGTTTTACTATCCCATGCACCATTGGGAGTTATGCCTTTGCCAAAGTATTGTGTGACTTGGGAGCCAGTATAAACTTGATGCCCTTGGCAATCTATACAAAACTGGGCATTGGCAGAGCTAGACCAACCTCAATATTGCTGCAACTGGCTGATCGCACAGTCAAAAGACCGACAGGAATTCTTGATGATGTGCTTGTTCAAGTGGGGAAGTTTGTATTCCCTGCAGACTTACGTCATTCTTGACTGTCAAGTGGATGAAAAGACACCAATCATTCTGGGAAGGCCATTTTTACCCACTGGGAGAGCATTGATTAATTGTGAGGCTGGGAGTTGAAAATGAGGTTGAACAGTGAAGAAATAATATTCAGTGTTCAACAATCTATAAGGAGACCCAGTGAATTTGCAAATTGCTCGCTAGTAGAGGCCGTGGATGTAATACTACAAGAGGAGGATGAGACTCTTAATGTCAGGGATCTGTTAGAAGCCTGCTTGATGAATCTGGAAAATATGGATGGTGAGGAGTTGGCAGAGTGGGTCATGGCTCTCGAAGGTCAAGGGTTTTGGAAAAGGGAACCTCAGTTCGAGCCCCTACACTTAGAAGAAAGAACAACACCACCTGCGAAACCATCGATAGAGGAGCCACCACAGTTGGACCTGAATCCGCTTCCAGCTCACCTCAGGTACACTTTCTTAGGGCCTAATTCTACTTTACCTATTATTATATCATCCGGTTTGTTGGCTGTGCAGGTAGAGCAACTCCTACAGGTGTTACGGGAATGTAAGACTGCTATTGGTTGGACCATGGCAATCTCTGTCCCAACATCTGATCCGGGATGCCATGGTGCGGAAACTTCACCAACATACCCTTAAACCTCTCCCGGGTTTCTTGCAAAGTCTTAGTCGGTTTCTGCCTGAATTGCTATATCTCATCAATTTGCCTTGCAGTTTTGTTGGGTGGATAAAACTTGTTTAAGAACTGCTTGACTAGTTCCTCCCAAGTAGCAGTAGAGTTTATTGGGAGTGAATTCAGCCAAGTTTGAGCCTCCGTAGTCACTGAGAATGGGAACAGTAATAATTTGATTGCTTCAGGAGTCACATTCAGCTGTCTTTGGGTGACACAAATTGATAGAAAGTTCTTCAGATGTTGTTGTGGGTCTTCGATGTATGACCCGGAGAACAACCCCTTATTCTGCAATAGGTGCAACATGTTGTTGGTAATCTGGAATGTCTCCGCTTGTATCTGAGGAACCGCAATTGCTGTGGCCAGGTTATCAGCAGTTGGTTGCGCCCAGTCAAAAAGAGAAGCTTCCGGCACAAGAGGTGCTACCACTCTGACGTTTGGGTCATCTCGATCATTCCCGTTGTTCCCGTTGATGTTGTCTATGTCACCCATTTCAATTTCGAATTGTTCATTTTGTTTTAGCTGTTTGCCCTTCTTGTTAGCCCGGTTCAATGTCCGGAATGCTTTCTCGGGATCTGAGAGTCCTTCAAAGAGTTCACCAGCTCTCAAGGAGCTTCTAGGCATACACCTGAGTCACAGAAGAGTTCAAACGTGAGAATTTCAATGAAAATATTTTTAACACCATAGAAAATTGATCTAAACTAATAATCCTAGCAATTCTTCCAAGGTGTAATAAATAACACCGTTAGTTCCCCGGCAACGGCGCCAAAATTTGATCACGCCAAACTATGCCTTATAAAAGGACTAAGCGGTCGGTGCAAATATAATCCGGTTCAAGTCCAGAGTTGAATCCCATCGGGAACTAACCTATTTACTACAACTTTTAACACTGCTAATGATAAGCTCAAACAATTCCCGGATGCAAGATTTTTAGTGGATAATGAGTACAATTTAGTTAACTAAGGAAAAATGACAAAAAAACTAGTAATAATCAAGAATATAGTTGAATTCAATGGTAAAATGGTCTAGGGTTATTGATTTCCCCAATTGTCGGATTAATTTCTGACACGTTAGCTATAATTTCGCCGTAACACTCTATAAGGAATATGAGTTCTGGGCTACCGTAATTATCTCTCGATCAAATACGATAATTTACTAGAAGCATTCTCTCGAACTACTCTAGTTAACAATTTATGCAACTCAGAATTATTCCACCAAAGCTTCGTTATCTCTAACCCTGCTTTTAAATTCAAGTAATTAATCTCTTAACTTACCCGAAAATGGTGTTGTTCAACAACAATCAAACCAAGTGTTCTTTCTCAAGCAACACAGGATAACTAGACACGATTAATCAATGGCCCTTTTAATTAATCACAAGACAACACGTAGTTGAACAATCATAGAGTAAAAATGGCTCAATTATATCAAAACAGAGTCAAGACTTCATCCAACAATTGTTTCCATAAACCCTAGATGACGGATTTAGCTACTCATAGTAATAGACAAAAATTCACTATATAAAGTCATAATCAACAACGGAATTAAGAAGAAGATGAAAACTCTAAGGAAATTCTCTGTCTTCCTTCCGTGTTCTTGCCTCCAAAATCTCTCTAAAAACAGCTTCCTTTCTCTTCTGGGCGAATTAGGCTTCATATAGGTTTAGGTTAGTCGCTTAGAAATTACAGAATTGACCCTGGGTTATTGGCTTCCGTCAGCTCGTCCGCGGCAGCGGATTGGACCGCGGACTCGACCGCGGATTTCGCCCAGTGTTCTGCCTCAGTGCGCGGCCAATGCTTGATCAATCTGCGGCCGCGCACCTGGAGGGGACTTCGCCTCTTGCTTTTCTTTGTCCTTTTCGACCGTGCTAACCTCTGATTAGCCTTCCACGCCCCATATTGACTCCAAAACACTCTTTAGCTTCCTCATAGCTCGGAGTGGCTCCTGCAAAACATAAATCTCTTAATTAGAGCATTTTGTTATCTTTTAACATTCAAACATTGATAAAGTGCGGCTAAATTAGAGTGTAAATAGTATCTAAATTGCATAATTATAGCCTACTTTCATAAATCTTACGAAAAATACTTGATCACGAAACTTGTAGGGAATTCTTCAAAGCTTGAGGCGTGTCAAAGACACTGTCCTTAAGAATATTTCACCCGATTTGGGTGTGTCCCCCAGGATTCAACAAGCCCTTCTAGTATAAAACTAGGAGCATAAACTAACAAAGATTTATTCAGCTTGGTTGAAAATCCAGCAGAAGGAAGGAGAGTATTTTCTGTATACTTGGTATCTCCCACACCAGAAAGAATATATGTATATAAAGAATGTGTGTATATATAGGATGAGTGGAATCAAGTGGTTATAATGGGTGAGTAATGGTCCAACGGTTACAAATATAAAATAATGGCCCATTATTGCATGAAACAATAAAGACACTAAATGTTAATAAAATGAATCTAGACACTTTCAGAAAATATGATTCTCGACACTTCCTTTTGAGATACCATATTCACTATTTTTCTAATAGTCCCCCACATATCTCAAAAGGAATAGAAGGATAGAATATTTTGATGAATTTTTCTACATATGAGTACAATGCATCGAATCTGGTATCTCGTAGACCATGAACCAGACCTAGAAAAATAAGATTAAGCTTGCTGAATAATATGAAGTAACTTCTATGAACCAAAAATTCTTTTGTAAGCCTAGAGTCTTATCTATCACATTATACTCGCACAATCTTTGTCGTTACCGCGGTTTTGCGCTAAAAGTCCATGCGCGCGCCTGGTTTTCATGAGTGCTCTAGAAATTTTGCCACAAATTTCGTAGAAGCGGCCCCACTCCATACTAATATAGGTCCATCCATCAAGCGTATTCTGCGGTGCAATACACCACCTACAAAAGGCTATGGATTATTGGACTGAGAGTTTAATAACTCAGCCTCACATTTCTTGCAGTCTTGCACTATAAACACACACCATAGGAAGAGACATAACTTAATAGTGCACATTTGATCGACTAATGACTTGTTATTACTCGTATGAACCTTCTTCATGGAATCTCCAATAACATAGGTTGGGTTACCATCATTGTTGATATATCTCTAATTGGCAAAAGTCTCAACCCCTCGATGTTTCACTTATAAGTTAAAGGATCGGCCAAATCCTCTTTTGACTACACATTATATGTATGAAATTTTTTTTATCTCTAAGCAAATGCTTTATCACATTATATCTTAAGAAAATATGTCTACTCTTCTCATTGAAAGAAGTAAAATTTTCTAAACATAGAAGCAATTTTAACTTCTACAGAAATAGCTTACATAAGAATTGGGTCATAATTCAACAATTTGTTCACCCAAATATTTAAGAAACCCAAAGTAAAATGCAGTAGCCCCCACATTTTCAAAACTTTTAAGGTAAAGGGGTAATATTTTTCAAAACTTATAAGAAATATTACCAACTTCTCATATATAATACATTTCATCTTATAAATAACAGCATATAGTTCCACTCAAACGATTATGTATAACTACCGACATTATGTCATCATAAACACTTATTTTAAGTAAGTACAAGTATTAACATTTTTGATATTTCTTAAAATAGTAAGAAACATTAACAAATCATTATTACAATACTCACTGCCCATAACAAAATTATTTTATTGATGCAACCTCATCATTCTCAAAAAAAATTTTTACTCCAACTTTTTTTAACAATTTTACAGGAACCAAATTTGCCCGAATATTAGAGTTATGGATCACCCAACTAATGACAATATCTTTCAGAAGCGAGTTTAAAAAGAAATTTTCCATTCTAAGAACTTGAGTAGTTCTTGAATCACCAAAATAAATAAACCATTCTTCTTGTTCTTCAACTTGGGTGTATGACACAAAATTAACTTTATTAGCACGAATCTGCTTAGTAGCACAAGAGTCTAACATCCAATCTGTTGCATTAGCCATAGAATTCGCTTGAGAAATGACCACAACAATTATATCATCCGTTTAGTCAAAATTAACTTTATTAGCACAAATCTGCTTAGTAGCACAAGAGTCTAACGTCCAATCTATTGCATTAGCCATAAGATTCACTTGAGAAATGACCACAACAATTATTATTTCCAATAAAGTTTGTTCTCAAATAATTAACTCATAGTTATATGAAGAAAAATCAGTCATTATTCAACATTCACCCAAATGACCAAGAGATAAGCAAAGTCTATTTTTAGATCATAAAGTACTTCCACCAAAATGCAATATACTTTGACTCTCTAATATATATATATTGTCGCCACAAGAATCACAAATTCCATAAGACTCATATTGACATTTAAAAATTATTTTAGCGATGCAAGGGCGGAAAAATCAATCGACAATAATATACATATATGAGTTCTTTTAGATATATGTATAATAACCATTTTGATAAAGTCAAATTTAGAATCACTCAAAAGTTCACTTATGATCTCTAGCAACATAAGTAAACTGTAAAATATTGATGCATTTAAAAATTAAATTTTAACACTGCTAAAAACAAATAACATATTGCCTCTTTAAAAAATTTAAGAGAGGAAATTCAAAACATTGAAGATAAAGAGAACTACAAAAGCATCATTCATAAGACTAAAGAATTAACATACATTTTCTTTCACAATACAAAATGCACATAAATAATAACATGTTACAAATCGATATTAGTAAATAACGCACAGCCCGAAACACTAACCAAATTAGAATTAAATTATATGTATATTCTTAACGTCAAAGTTTATCTGCCTATTATATTCTCACGAGAATAAGCATAAAAGAATAAGAGGTATCAGTTCAATTACGCGTACCTGACACTTAGATATAATGTTGCGCAAAAATCTTTCAAGCGAAAGATATTACCGTTTGTCTTTAAAGTCCATCAGAATTTCATAGGTAGTATTCTCCATAAGAACAAAGTGAGATGTCCTTAAGATTGTTGTAAATCTTACGGAAAATACTTGATCACGAAACTTGTAGGGAATTCTTCAAAGCTTGAGGCGTGTCAAAGACACTGTCCTTAAGGATATTTCACCCGATTTGGGTGTATCCCCCAGGATTCAACAAGCCCTTCTAGTATAAAACTAGGAGCATAAACTAGCAAAGATTTATTCAGCTTGGTAGAAAATCCAGCAGAAGGAAGGAGAGTATTTTCTGTATACTTTGTATCTACCACACCAGAAAGAATATATGTATATAAAGAATGTGTGTATATATAGGTGAGTGGAATCAAGTGGTTATAATGGGTAAGTAATGGTCTAACGGTTATAAATATAGAATAATTTGTAGACACTTTCAGAAAATATGGGTTTGGACTCTTCCTTTTGAGATACCATATTCACTATTTTTCTAACATAATGTAGGCAGTATACTCTGACTCAAGCATAGTGACTAATTCTACGGTTCGAAAGACAACTTCACCATTGATCCAAAACACTCATTCAAAATAAGAAATCATCAGTTACCTTTTTTTTTTTTCCAGATTTACTTATGTTGTGTTAATTAAATAAGGCGCTTAAAGAAAGATAAAAGGTAGTAATTGATCAACGACTACTTTCATGATTAAGGCTATTAAAGGAGTATGAAAAAGTACATAAAAAAGACATATATGGACCGGAGTTAGTATAACCTTCCATTTATTTTTGTTGTTTAGCTATAGGAACACTGAATAGTAGAGCATTTCCTGTTAACCAATTGGTTCTTTTAACCCTCTAAAATGTATGCAAGTCCTTCGGTTTTCTCAAATCATCTCCAGACTGCAAATTTTAAACTTATTCTTAATGCAAATTAAAAGATCCTCCACCAAAAGGGAAAGGACTAGAATTTCATTAACGGCATCTGGAAATCATTTTTTTAGGAAAGATGGAGAAAGTAATGTTATTTGAAGACTGG